CATCACCCCACTGTATGTCATATTCGACTACTTCCTCAGTGCTCACCCCACCTTTTTTCTACCTTTGTGTCTGTCTCTTACATCTTCGAAGCACTCTTCTGTCCCCCCCCCCTCTCGACTTTTTTTCCACTTTGATGTTCCTTCCCCTCTGTGAAGCCTGAAGTCAACTAAAGGGCTATTGATAACTATCAAAACGCCTGCCACTAATTAAATCTGGTTTATAAGGGGAGGGCAATTGTAAGTAAGAAATTTTGTGACCAGGAAAACTCCAAGCTTCTAACTAAGAAGATTTTAGCATAAAATGAGGAGTTATTCTAGTCCCCTTTCCAAGCGTACGAACTTAGCTATCTCAAGCATTCACGTTACTATTACGTCGAAAGGAAATTCCTCAGGGGGTAAAGTTCACAATTCAGTTGCTACATGATTATAGAAATTAATAAACTGCTTAAAGGCCTATCAATCGTGCCATATGCCTAAATAAGTAAAGAATTAATCGAAAAAAGATAATCGAAACACGATGACTGATAATCTAAATCGGAAAATGAAGTCACTAAGTTGCTCTTAATGCTACAAAAAACTTTACCAAGTCTGGAAAGTAATTACCTTCAAATGAATCGTAGCAACTCTGGTTTTCACAAATTTTGAATATTTCTTTATTGCGTTTGTTTGACAGTACGTCCTCGAGAGCACCGATGTTTTAATAGCTCTGTGAAAATTGTAGTCAGTTTGCTGGTAATAAAGTGTGGATAGAGCCTTTTAAAAATATTTTATCTTTAATCCTATAACACCTGAATTATTTTGAAAAATCACTCTCCAGCCCTGCAGACAACGACAGAAATCCAGAAAGCCAGAAGTCGACTTACTGGCTAATACTAACTACCCCAAAGCCTGCCATTTGATACCTATATATATATATATTGAAAAATGCACCCAATGACTCTCACCCGTGTCTCACAGCAGACTGATGCCGCCGACATGATGAGTTTCGGTGATATCAAACGAAGGCTACATGGACACGTATCGAACATGTTTCAAAGGGCAGTAGCGCCTTCTATTACGATTCTGATACCATTGGGGGCTTATTTTGAAAGAGGACCGTACTCTCCTGCGGGGTGTTTAAGGGTTAAGAATGAGAGTGAAGTATAGCTTAGTCATTTTCCTCTTTTAAAGAAAGTTCTGAATTAGCTATTGAAGAGACTTATTACTATGAATTGCATTCTGCTCTGTGATGCTTCAATTATCCATGTCTTTCATAAACCCTAAACCGACCAGAAATTGACCACCGGTAATCTGTTGATTATTGCCTTTTCGCTTGAATTCCCTTTTCAATCTATTTACTATTATTGTCCTTTTCTCTGAAGATATGCAAAATCGGTTTGAAGTCTCCTCACCTCCTTCATCTTCTTGACAACTGTCCCGCAAATGCTGAACCTCTCATCACTCGAATGCTTCGAGTTCTCACTGATCCTCGAAAGGTTGCTCCACCGAATGCTCAAGTCGACCCCATCATGCCTCCTAAAGAGGTGGTTGATCGAATGCGTTGGCTCTACAGGGAACGTGCCAACGATGTGCGTTTCATCGTGCCGGTGATTGTGGGTCTCACTAAACAGGAGGTGATAGAACTTCTGCCGAGGATATTCCAGTTGAATGAAGCGTATATCAAGGAGGTTATTTCCCGACTTCTACGCGGTGAGTGTCTTTAAGTGCCCTGTGTTTATTTCTCTCTATCTCATTCAGTTACCCCGATTTTGTATAGAGATCAAGCATTCAGCCCCATTAGTAGATGTGTTTTAAATACTTGATTTGAATATGGGCAATGCATTCTGTCACCTCTTTTGTTGATTTATCATCCATATCCATAGGATATGCTTCGGTGGGCATTGATAGTAGTGTGGGCTCTACCTTCACATTTGTGCATGTTGACTAGCACTCCACCGGGCCACTGTGTGGTGATTTTGGGTGCTTTTGATTGATATACGCTTCGTTCTCATTCCACCCATGTATTTCTCTTGTTTTACAGCAAGTGTGGCGACACAACCTCCCCCGGATCCACATAATCCGAATGATGGATCAGAAGCCTCCTCCTCCGCAAAGGGTCCTTTGACACCAGAAGACCTCTTGGTCGCCATCCACCTTCTCGAGTTCGCAAAAGATCCAGATGCTGACCCTAATGATCCATCTCCAAGTGAGTTTGTTGGATTTCCAATATGTCAAGGCTCTGTGTTCTGATGATGTGACACAATGCGAAAAGCGCAAGTTGAATAATAACTTTTGGCTATGTCTCCGGCTAATCCTATATGATTTGTTTAATCCTAATTGCACAAGAGAGATACGACTTGACTATGTCTTATCTCGATATATTCTAAAAGGTTTAAGCTAGAGGGGGGGATGTCAGGTCCAGAGTTTACTGCTTTCAGAACTTCCATCTGGACATGATATATGGAAAAAATCGAAATCAATCATCTAAATAGTTACAAGTAAATGTTTTTTTCTCGATGCAGAATGATGAATTAGAATTCGCCCCCCCCCCTCCCCCCAAGGGGAATGTCAATTAATCTGGCAATATTCAATCTAATAGTCTTCGTAGGTCTGAAGATAATCTTTAATAGTTAGTTTCATTGTGCACAACGTCAATAGTGTACTTTTATGATTGATTGGCAAGCTGCGTGTTTTAAACAGCATCATCTTAATACGACTAGAAGTCATCAAGTTTCTTACAATTGTGTTCAATTTATTTTAAATAAATTCACTCTGCGTCGTAGTATCTCAAATTGAATCTTGTTAAGCAGGAAACAGGAGAGCTGAGTAATTTCTCAATCGGAAAGATTTCTAATCTCCTGAACTATTATCCATGAATCTGTTATCTCTGGCTATATAAGTACTATTTCGCATTAATTAATCTAGGCCAAGTTTATTTTCTACTTTATTTTATAGAAATTAAACGCGGCAATGTTCGTCGCGGGTCGACGACTAAAATTGGTAAATATTGGGGGGGGGGGGGGTGAAGTCAGGTGTCAAAAGGTATTACTTCATTTGATTTGTTTAATTCTATTTCTATAATACGTACTTAAAGTAGAGTTTCCTTTCCTGTCATGTTTTGTCTCCTTCAATTCTGTAAAATCTCAGGCTTGACTTATTGGCAAGTAATTTGATTCCGATGGTCGGTTTAGCCACTGCAATCCACGTTTCTTCTAGATAGAGAAAACTGATGGCTTTTTAAAAGATATAAATCGGTTAACATGATTGCAGCTATTTACTGTTGTATTTTGCCTCTTTTAGCGAAGCCCTACATCGACATTCGAGTAATTCTCCAGGGCTGTATGAGCTGCTTCTCAGAGCGTTCACTCTACACCCAAGAACGTCTCTCGGTCGCCATCAGCCAACTTCTCGAGCGGCCAGTTATTCCCACACTATTCCTTCGCACAGTTATGCAAGCTCATGCTCTCTATCCCCGACTCTCGGGCTACGTGATCAATGTCCTCTTCCGTTTGATTCAAAAGCAATTCTGGAAGTCGGAAATCCTCTGGGCTGGATTCATCCGCTGTTGTGTGAAAATCCAACCTAAAAGCTATCAGGTGCTCCTTCAGTTGCCACCACAACAACTTGAGGCTGTATTCAAAAGAGAACCAGATTTGAGAACACAGCTGAGACGTTATGTGGATACTTTTTCTTCAGCTCAGAGAACTAATATTTCTCGGGGAGTTTATGAGGTACTGGAAAGAGAAGAGAAGGTTGAAGATCCTGTCGCTACTGAAGAATCTGTTTCTCAGCCTCCCTCAGAAATTAAACAAGAAATGGGAGAACAGACTATAAAAGAGGAAGAAAGGGAACACTCGAATACAGAGCGTGAACAGAATGCTGACGTAGAGTCTTCGGGTGCCGCAACTCCAGTTTGTGATGAGGTACGTTTAGATATTGTTTAAGTGGTTTGTAAGTTGACCATTTAATTGTACTTTTCTCGTAGTCGGAGCCTCATCACGTTGAGGAAAGCACTACAGCACATCAGGTAAATTCTTGTGCTCATCTATTACTTAACTTGCTGTTGATAGGTGAATTCTATTATGCTATTTACTTGCTTGCAGGCTAATACTCAAAATGTTGGAGAAAGTTCGGTAATTGCGGAGGGAAATCTTTCCGAAAGCCTAAAAGAAGAAAATATGGATGCTGAGTAAAGGGCTTCAGAAAAGTGCAGCTAAGGCCCACAATAGCGAGCCATAAATATACTTTTTTGTACAAATGAATACATCCTTTTCAAATGTTTTATTCCATGACTTCTGTAAAATACGGCGTTTTTTTGTAAATGCATTTTTAATTACCATCTTAATATTTGTTATGGCGATCGAGAATTCATTCAAAAGCTGCCTTTTTCTATCAAGTGGTGTATTGGTACTACAAATTATTTATTTATATCAAATGGCAGGCATTTTGATAGTTATGATTAGTCCTGGAGCTGACTTCGGGGCTTTACAGAGAGTAGGAGGAGGAGCATTAAAGGGACAAAAAGTCGAGAGGGATTCACAGATGTAAAGGAGACAGACAAACAGACACAAAGGCATAAAAAGGTAAGATGAGTACTGCGGAAGAGGTCAAATATGACAAATAGTCGGGCCATAGTAGTTTGAAGTCAGAAGTCAGCTGCCGGTTTAAAGACTTTTTTGCCGTATGAGTATATGTTGCCCAGGGTGCACCACGTGGAGGTAAGTCTATTACGCACCCCGTACTGCAAATTATAAAACTATAAAGAAGGGTGAATCGGCAAGTACGACCATTAGGATTAGAGATATGCATTGATTGATACAGGATCAGGGTGTATATGTTCGTGGCTCGCTCCCATCAACCCGAATGTGCTAGAAAACGGATAAATACTTGAAATTGGGATGCGGAACTGACTTAAAATGTGAGCATGGAATTCAATTCGGTCAATGCCGTGATCTTAAGCTGATTTATCCAAATAACGTCCACTTCAGGTTATTCGATCTTTTTAACTTGCCGGTAGTGACAATTCGCGGAGTGTCCAAACATTTATTTATTACAAATGGCAGGCGTTTGGATAGTTACCATTAGCCCTTCAGCTGAGTTTGGGCTTCACAGATAGGAGGAGGAACATCAAAGCGACAGAAAGTCGAGAGGAGGGGATGTAAGATAGACAGAGGCAGAGAAAAAGTAAGTTGAGTACTGTAGAAGGGGTCGAATATGACGTGCAGTGGGATCAGGGTAGTTTAAAGTCAGAAGTCAACTGCCCTTTAATAGACTTTTTGCCGCATGAGTATATGTTACTCACGGTGCACCATGTGAAGGTAAGTCTATCGCACTCCCCGAGTGTCCAAACATAGATCCAGGAACCACAGCTTCTAATGTAGTAAATAAATGTCGTCTTCCACAAAGGAAGTAAGATAATTTGACAAAATTTGTGGGAACCATTATTTTAATTGGTATGAATATGAACAGACATGAGATACGAAGATGAATTTTAAGTAGTTCTTTTTATGTTTACCACAGAGCATTTCGGCAAGAGATTGTGGTTAATTAAGACGAAAATTAGATTTAAATCGGTAAATTATGTTAACACGTAAAAGCACTTTGTTGTCAATAACGTTAATAAGGGCCAATGGTATAACACTAACCTACTGGAGTGTCATTAAAACGCAACAAACATTGAAAGAACGGGCATAGATGCGAAGAATTTTATCATTTATTCATTAAAATAAAAAACTGTTTGAGCGCGTCATTATTTGATTGTTTTCAATTTTCTTAACATTCGGGAACCATCATCTAAAATTCATGTTGCTAACGAAAACATGTGGAGGATAGGCGGAGTAACTTTTTTATTGAAATATCTTCAAAATTTCAATTACTTCCAGGATGAGATTAAATTTACCTCACCAGTTTATCATCAACCGAATTAACTTACTTTATTATTATTCAATATTTTTAACTACCTATGAAACAATAAAAATTCCTGTTCAATCGTGTTAAACAAACGACATGCTCAAATACAAAATAATTTACATAAAATTTATAATTTATAAATGTCAAAATATGATGCATTTGAGTGATGTATTCATTTGTCGTGAGTGCCTCTTTTGTCCTCTTTGATTGGCTTTCATGTGTTGCGGGTAATTTAAGATGAAGGCGTAAGTTCCTAGGGCTTTTGTACCGCACGATTTTGTCATATATTTTTCTTATATAACGCTTAATTGTATCCTTTTACATGTACTAGTGGTCTAAAAAGGTAATTTAAGCTTTAAACATGCTTTGCGCACATTTATTAATATGTGGATCATGACATCTTTCATGCTCCACGACTAGTTCGCAGGGTATTTTATTGTTTGTAGCATCTATTTTCTTCCTAGTTAGAGCATAAGATTTAAAGCTTGCAATGCCTAATAATTCTGCAACTAAGAAATTAATTCCAATGATACTATTTTCTAGTTAATAGTTTTTTCTCTTGAGAAATATATTGTATCTAATTGCAGTCTTTAAATTTCTTTACAAAGTCTTTTTAATAATGAAAAAGATCTCCGCCCGAGGGTTCGAAAATTACAAACTGAACTTAAACGTGAACAACGAAAGTTAGATCGAGATATTGTCGTAATTCAGCAGAAATGTAAACAGAGCGAGGCCGAGGTTAAGAAATACGCCCAGAGTAATAATATGGATGCGGCTAAAATTCTTGCCAAAGAAATCGCGAAATCCCGCATGACTATTAACCGTCTATATCAAGCAAAGGCTCAAATCGGTTCTATCTGTGCGGAGCTTGACAACCAGATTGCTATGGCGAAAATGGCCAACGCTCTCAAACAGAGTACCACAGTGATGCAATCAATGTCAAATCTTGTCAAGGTAACCTAATTTTACACATTGTGCATTTAAACTGAAGTTCAATATTGTTTTGCATTATATATCCAATTTAGGACCATTTGTTGCTTCTCAATTTTTATTCCTTCTCATTTTGCCTCGTTTAATTTCTCGGATTTGTGAGATGCCTTTTCATGTTAAAATCAGTATTTCATCTTTAATTTTTTTCAAATTATCTTTTTATTCTGTCTCTAAATCTAAATTAAGCTATAAGCGTGGTAGTTCTTATTTTGCCGCATCTGTTTCTTGAGCTTTCTTCATCATAATTCTTCTTCTAAACTGTTGTATAAATCTGAGCTTGTCATTAGTTTGAGCTTTTGTTTGATTTTGAAGGAAATTTGAGAATTGATGATCTTCATTTTTATCACTTTCTTTATCTATTACCTGCTCGTGTTACTTTTAATAAACTTAGAAAGGCTTGTTTTTTGTTGTTTCATTTGTTCACATTTTTCAGTCCATGTTCATTCACATTATCTAACATTCAGTAATGGATTTATTTTCGTTGAAATATTGGTTTATTTAACATTTACTGGATTTTATATTTGTTTCCATATATATTTAAATTTTTCTTTTATCTGAATTATTTTTTCGATGTCTTGGGAAGTAATGCCCCATTAGTAAACGATGAAATTAAACTCGACAAGAAATTTTTATGTGTAATCGAATTATGCAGTATCCGTCACCTACGTTTTCTTAAATCGCTCTTTTAATAATTAGTTTCCTTCCCTAGAATCGCACAGTTTGTTTATTCTTATGTATGGCCAAAGGTATATTTCAATTCAGAGCTTCCGATATTAATTTCTGTCTTATATTTTTTGTTTGGATTCTGATTAGGTTAGTTAGAATCAGAAAAAAGTCTTATATTTTCCACGGTTGAACTTCGTAAATGAGTTTTAAAATTTTTCCCCATTTACGGCACGTTTAATACTTGTGGTTGGAAGTTACACTTGGGTAAGGAGTTGTAACAATGTTCCTATGCTTCTCTTGAGCATGGTTTTACATTAATTTCACATTGTTTTTTCATTTGTTTGTTTCTCTGATCTAAATGCTCAATTTGTGTTACTAGACTGCAGATTACTAAGACCTGCAGTGGTCCTTTTAATTCATTTATTGCCTTAATTTGGTAACTGTATATGACTTTGAATGGCGTTGTACTTTATGCAGTTGATTGAAATAATCATTGCTGTTAATTGATGCAACAGATAATGCGGTCATTGGAAGACGTTCAATTTCACCATATCGTGATCTGCTAAGATATGAGCATTCGATGCTTATGGCACAGAGCCCACATTTCGATGGGATAGTATTGTTGCTAAACTTCCTATGCACTGGAGAGCTGTGATCTTTTTAATTTTTTTAAATGATTTCTAGATGGGAAGTTCACATCTAACCTCCGAAATGGCTTTCCGAACTGTTTTATTTCCATCAAATGGCCCCTCGATACCTTATTTGTCACCTTTTAGGGTGTTCACTGTATGAATCGTTTGTCCTCCAAATATCTTTTTGTATCACGAACACACTTCTAGTATGTCTTTTTTATTTACTACCTTCAACATTTGTGGAATGCGCGGAATTACTATTTATACGTCCAAATATATTGCAACACTGCGATTAAGTGTAGTTTTATTAAGAGAAGTAAAATGGACAAAGCAATACCACGGCATGTGTTCGAAAGGAAGTGTGTCAGGATTTTCTGAAGCATGCTATGAAGGATAAAATTGAAAGAACGAGTTAACGCCTTTCCTTCCTTCTCTTTGTCAGCTTCCCGAGTTGCAGACCACCGTGAAAAACCTCTCCAAGGAGATGATGAAGTTGGGTATAATAAATGAAATGGTCGATGACTCCATTGACAGCACCTTGGGAGGAGGTGAGGAGTTAGAAGAGAAGGCCCAATCTGAAGTGGACAAGATCCTCTTTGAGTTGACCAAAGGGGCGATGGGCCAGGCTCCCGACGCCGTCACAGACACTCTTCCTGCTGGCATCGAGTTGCCTTCCGCTGGTATGGCTGAAGAAGTTGAAGAGACTGCTGATGATTTGGAGGAGATGAGGGCGCGTCTGGAGGCTATTCGTTGAATCTCCGCCATTGCAGTTTAGCAGCAGCGATGTCTGTGATCTAGTCTTTCTAGAACCTAATGACCATTACTACCATTCATGTGGACTCAGTGTACTTCCGCCTCCTACCTCTCACCTACTCCATCCCCCCTTCTCTCTTATTTGTATAATCGTCAGTGGACTCCTGTTTGTTTTGTTTTTTTTGGACCTCCCTCACTATATCTGTTTTCCGGAGCTGCATATAATACTTAAATAAAGACATTCGTCGATTTACCTGCAGTTACTTTGGTATTTGTAATTGTCATTTGGATTAGCATCGTCATTTTTACCTCGATTGAATATAGCTAAGTAAGCACGGCTAAGTTTACAAGTTTTGTCTATAAATAATGACTACTTTCGGCTTGAAGCTCTACTAAGCTGAAGACTCACCCAATTTCTTTGGTCATTGGACAACTAGGAGCTGGATCGTGTATCTGTGAAGGTTAGAGGGAATTCAAATCTCATTTTATGGGAACCCATCGTATTTTAAAATATAACCTGATAAAGATGTTAAGGGCAAAGAGGTGCGAATTGGAATTCAAGTTCCAGAGAGTCCCTCACCTTGTTAGCGAATCCAGAGGTCACTAATTCGATCCACAGCAACGCACATCCAGAGAGCGTCGAAATCAATCGCACCTCCTAAGTTAGGTTGACTTAGGTCTTCACAGGTGGGAGGAACATCAAAGTAACAGGAAGTCGAGGGGTGGGGAACAGAAGAGACAGATACAAAGGCAGAGAAAAGGTAGGATGAGTACTGTGGAAGTGTTAGAATATGATATACAGTGGGGTGATGGTAGTTTGAAGTCCGAAGTCAACTGTCGGTTTATAGACTTTTTTGCCGTTTGAGTATACGTTGCCCTGGGTGCACCACGTGGAGGTAAGTCTATCCCACACCCCATTTTACCAAATATTTAACTGTTCTAATACGAAACCTAAAATTAAACCTAACTGGTTGAGAAGTAGTGCTAGTTAGCTATTAATTATACCTACCCTTTTTCTTTTGAGTTCCTACCTAATTAAAAGAGAAAATCTGGGGCACCATTTCCGAGACGTTACCATGGTAAATGCATAAATAATGCGTACTAACATGAGTGCAATTTTCTGACAGGCCAGGACTAATTTCTTACATTGTATAGCACTTCATCGTGGAAAAAATAGGATCGAGCTTAAATTTAACTGTTTTGTTGGAAAATGGAGATGGTTTTATGGATGATAACAAGAAGTTGTGGCAGGTGCTGCCTTGAGTAAACCACAAAATTTCACATCGGATAAACTTCTCTAGCATTAAATTGTCACAGAAAGCTGCTAGGCTCTATTAATGGTGTAGAGGGAGCAAGATGGGCGAAGTAAATAAAGTTTATTAGAAATTTCGGTAGCATGCCATGATGATTAGTCACTGAAATACGATTTTAGGGCTGCGCTACGCTAGAACGTCTATCGATTGCTGGTTGGCTTAGAGGTCACTTCGCTCCCCGTCGCGTTTGATCGCTACGCGATCAGTGGCACAGCACACCTTCCAGATTGTTTTAGTGAACATGAATTTCCTTTTTTAGTATTGTGCACTCCCCAATCTGTTAATGATAGGGGATGCGTTTCTTATGGGTTTTCAAAAAAAACTACAATCAAATTTCGAGCTATCAGATTGTAGAATTATTTCAAATCAGTTTTCAGTACTTCATTTCAGATGATAGCACATCCACATGTCACCATCATCTATTTATATCAAATGGCAGGCTTTATGATAGTCATCATTAGTCCTTTATTTGAGTTCGGGCCTCACAAAGGGAGGAATATCAAAGTCCTAAAAAGTCGAGGGGGGGGGGGGGGGGGGAATGGAAGGGTGTTTTACAGATGTAAAAGAAGCAGACACAAAAGTAGAGAAAAAGGTAAGATGAGTGCTGTAGAAGTTGACGAATACGACTTAAAGTCGGGTCATGGTAGTTTGAAGTCAGAAGTCAATTGCCGGTTTATAGACTTTTTTGCCTTTTGAGTATACATTGCCCAGGGTGCACCACGTGGAGGTAAGTCTATCGCGCATTCGCATATCAACATCATAGTTCCTAAAGGTTGAAGATTGAAAAGAATAGAGTATCGAATTAAGCAAATTCGGGATCTTATGTGGTAATAGTGATTGTATAGGTCGTGCATCTAGCATTTAGGTTTCGTTCTAAATAAACATGCCAATTGTATATTTTCTTCATAAATGCTTTACCTAAAATATTTAAAAATTAAAGCTTTCTTAAAGCGTCTCTTTTTACGTGAAGGTATCAAAGTGTCATACTTTTTCGTTTTAATAAGGCCATAGTTCTACTTAACTCCATATCTGAACGGTGGATAATTAACTTCGTGTTTAGAATAAATCGATTGGCTTCATTAACGCCAACATCGAACATTGTGCAATGTGCAATGTGCAACACAATGAATGAGAAAAGCACAACCTATTTATCGACCAACTCTCCACCCACGCTTATCAAGGAATTCTAAAGCAAAATGACCAATTAAAGTTAGTTTTGAACATTGACCTTGAAATTTTGCGTGAAAGGTAGATTGCCGCAGGCCCTTATCGGGGTAGCGTGTGCATATGCATATACATGGTGCTCTCCGATGTCGTGTTCCACCCCCACCCCCCACTTCGCTGGTTAAACGATAATAAAATAAGAAGAAAATGGATATTGAAATGTAATTTTTTTATTTTGTACGCACATGCAAATGAATATAAAAAAATTACATCTAAATTATATTACATCATATGATCCAATGTTGACATACCTTACGTTATTGGTTCTCGCGTTCCTGTTTAGCATTCTATTTTAGCTTTGATCGTATATTAATTAAAGAAAAATGGAATGAAAGACAAGCCACTGGTCTATTTACCATCATATTTGGCCATATTATTGATCGCACAGCTAGCAAGTGCGATCACGAGTGCAAAGACCTCTCGGCCAATTAACAATCAATAGTCAATGCGTGGCCAATATAGCAAAAAAGCGTATTTTAACGACTAGTCACCGTGTGCACGCTCCGAGTGCACGGTATGCCAATGAACCTAATTGGAATAGCCATGAATGAGATCAAATTGACTGGTGAAAAGCTCACAATATCGAAGGCATGAGTTAATCTAGAATCTCAGAGAATAAATCGTGTTAACTCCAGCTTTGGCATAGATTAGGAATTTCTGACTGGTTGGATTGATTCAAACGAGGATTTGAACTCAATATGATTGAGTGGTTCATAGGCCATTGTCGGCCTTTGGATGTGATATAGGATATTGACGCTGGCAGAAAACGGGATGGTTTTAGGTAACGCTGAAATGTACCATATTTATAATGTTTCATTATTTGTGCAAAATTCAAGTGGAATTTCTAAATTGGTCACTCATCTTTTAATCCCCCCCCCCCTCCTCCCTAAACAGTTTCCTCCAACACACTAATCTGAGAAAGTGGAAGTAGACTAAGTTACCTACATCACGGACCAATTAATAACAAGCAAATTGGTGGAAGACCTACATGAAATAAGGTTGGAGCAGTTAGCTTTTGGAAAAAATAATGTGAAATACGCCAGTCGGAGTTGAAAATCACAAGATTCTAGTGATTAGAAATATTCCGGAACAGCAGATGAAAAATATACCGGTCGTCGCAACTGAGTGATATGGTTTAAATGAGGAACCGTTATTTTTTTTGACCTTCTCTGACTCAAACTAAGACCTGTTGGGTGGTTCGGGCAAAATTTCTGTGGCTTTGACAGCAGCATTGAAATACTGTTTAAGAGGACAAAATCTGCGTCCTATTTGAATGGATTGATCAAAGTCAAAAAATAATTATGATTGTGCAACAAAGTAATATGAAGTGTCCATTTTGCGTGATTTATCCCCAACATTGCCTCCTCAAAATTTTTTCTATTCATTTTCACATCCAACCTGCAAACTTATAATTTGGCTCTATTAGCCACCAAGCCAATTGCTACTGAAAAGTTGACAGTAGCAACGCCAGATAGAATGACACCAAGGATTAAACTATTTATAGATCAATTGTTCGTTTTTTATAAATTCAAAGTAGGGAACTATTTTCGCTAGTACTCTATAGATGAAAAAGTACTTGAAAGTAATTAACTGAATAAGAGTAGGTAATGCTGACAATTGGGCAAAATAAAGTCTAGCGGCAAAGGTGGTTGGTTGCTTGGTCACAATAAGAATTTATAAAGGAAGATTCTTTATACCAGATCTCCAAGAGTAATGGTCATAAGGTTCTATAATTACAAACAATGTAGAATTAATCAAGAATGATATGAATTAATCAATTGTTTACAACAGCTTTAATTACATAGAGCTATATGAAATACTGGACAATTATGTTTCAGTTCATGGATTTTCAATGGTCTGCTTCCACCAAATCATCAAAATAACAGCATTCTTGGTTGCTAGCAGTACCATGACAAAGTCCTTATTTATTCACCCCTTCAACTGAAAAGAACATCAGAGAGTCAACAGGCAAAAGCTTTCCATGATTTAAATATTTCATACTCTTTGAGTCTTCCCTCCACTCTCAGGTTTTCCTTCCAATTAATAGTCCCAGTTAGTCACTATCTAGTTCCATTACACCTTATTCCAAACTTTCTTCCACATTTTCAACAAATAGGCAATTAAACGTGCGACATCATCCTTCTACATCTAATCTCCATAAAGAATAGTAGTTCTCCTTTTCAAAGAATCTAGAGTTGCCCAATACCCTCAATAATTACAACTCAGTAGAAAAAAAATCACACAAAGGTAAATTTATTCACATAATAAAAGCAACTTGTGTAAACAAATGAAAAAAGGAATTAGAGAGGGGAATGTCTATTTGGATTCAGTAGCAGAGCAACATTTCTGGCTGCAGCATTTGCACGGACACGATTTACATTCACATTGTCCGGGTTTACAATTGCATCCCTTGTCCGATTTGCAGCCTTCACAACATTTGCAAGTCTCCTTCTCACAACACTTT